AAGGAGGGAGCGGAGCTCCCTTGTGCCGAAGGAAAAAGTGGGATTGCAGGTCAGCTTTAGGGGAGGAAGGGAAAAATAAATTTGTACTCCTTGTTCTCCCTTTTATTGTAGCCTCCAAAGGATATATAATTATATCAAAACAAACAAAAATGCCTTCTCTGCTCTTTGTGAAATACTCTTCCCCATAAAAACAACTTCAAAAGAAAACAAAAAGTCCGGGGAAAACAAATTCCACTCTCATCAAAATTTTGGATGCCCAAAACATTTGAGGTCAAACCTTAAAAAAAAAGAAATGTTGAGGAGTTTTGACAGAGTTTGTTATGAAACAGGTTTTTACCACAGCTCCAGAGGCAGGGCGGCCATGAGGTGGGGAGGGCCCAGCCAGCCGGGATGGGGACGGCTCACTGTCCTGTTTCCTCCTCCCTTGAGGTCGCTCGAGGCGCTCGCCCTGCCCCACTGCTGTGGACGAGGGGCCTCGGAAGAGCAGAGCTCCTGAACCAAAGCATCAGCGCCTGGAACCGAATGTGGTTCTTTCGTGACCCTATTTAATATCCTGTGCACAAGGCCCTGCTGCCTCGCGCTTGAGCCGTGATGGTGCTTGTGCCTGAGAGCTTAAGCAATAGGGGAAAGAAAGGTGCAGAGAGCTTTCTTCCTTTTCCTGGTGTCTTTGAATGAGACCCAAAGCACACATGAAAATCAAAAGGAAAAAAACAAAACAAAACAAAAAACTCCCCCCAAAAACAGTGTGTGGAGTAGTGGAGAAAAAAAAGAAAAAAAAAAAGCAAAGGAAGGAGTGTAGGCTAATAATCCCATTAAGTAATAGCACCTGATTAGAGGGAGAGATATAATAAGTTGATACTGTTACAATATACACCCCCCTGCCTAGGGCTCTGAAGGCCCTGGAAGAAAGCTCAGCACGGCTGGAGGTTTCTCCCATCTGAAGCAGTGGTTGCCATAATTGTTTGATTAATGAACTCATTAGATCCCAGTGTCACTAGGAAAAGCATCTTGTTGCAATTAAAATGTAAGCACCACTTACTCAAGGCACCAAATATACATTGGCATACATTTGGGTATACACTAAGCATACATTTAAGTAGCAAAGCATTAAAAAAAAAGGCAGAGCATTAAAAAAATCCAGCTTTGTGTTTCAATGACTTGGCCTGCTTTGTCAGCAGGGTTTGGATGTTAGGGGAATGTCCCACCAGCTGCAGGTGGAGGTCAGCTGGCAGCGCTGCCCTCAGTTACACCAGCATACGCCAACCATTAAGGCTATAATCAGTTTGGAAACGCGATCCGCCACCGAACCAGCAGCAAGACTCCCTTTGGCTTCCCTGGAGCGAAGACTTCCCCTTGGCTCATCGCAGAACACCGCGGTGAGGAAGTTAGTTAAATTAGGGCATGTGCAAAGCGCAGCTCCTAGCAGCGCGTCCCTGGATGGCCGTGCCAAGGGAGTCTTGCTCCCGGCCTGGCTGTGCTGTTTTTGTTTTAGTATTAACAAATGGGCAGGTGGGACTTGTCTTGTTCTCCCCCTGCTGTATCATGTTGCTGCAAAGTAAGATGTTGAGACACAGTCTCACTTCTGTATTAAGTGAAAGCCATGCAGCCCGTTACTGGAAAGTGCATTATCATGGCATGACGGCACCGTCAGCTATTGTGCTGCTGAAGCCAGGGCTATAAAGCTATTTTGGTGTCCTGAGTCATGGTGTTTGAGTGTGGGTGTCACCGTGGCAGACCCCGTCTTTGGAAACTTGAGCAGAGACCTTTGGTGTGTGTCACTAATGCTTTTTTATGCAGTAGGAGCCGTAGCTCCCTGATTAGATGAGCTGAGTTATGAGAACGGCGCTGTCTCCTGCAAGCCAGGATGGAGGCTGATGCATCTGAAGTGCATTTAGCTGGCTGTGTTCACCATGGTTTCCTTGCTCGGCCAAAGCCCTCATGATCTAGGTCCCCAGGGCACTATGTGGCTCCAAGGCCGCTAACGCTAGATGCGTCGTGCCCCCTTCATGGCTCCCATGGGGCACAGGATGCAGCTCAGGTGGTGGGATGGGATCAACGTGCCACGGCTGTTGTGTGGGAGGGAGATGGCACCAAATGTAAAGATGAGCGGCCCCTTGGACTCGGGAGGAGTGCTTAATGCCAGAAGGACTGGCTGATAGGACGCCCTTCAAAACCCCACATGAGCAAACAGTCGTCCTAAAGTTTAGGGCTGGCTGGGGGAGCACTGCTGGCAAGAGCAATGCCCCCATTTTACTCATTTCTTTAGTGTTCAAATTATTTGCTTTTTGTTAAAGGTTACTAGCAGCCAGAGCAGTGTAAAGAGAAAAGTCTGAGAGACTGGCTGTTGGCCAAATTGCAAAGAGAGCAAAACAGTAGTGCCGTAGTAAATTTTCTTCCTGAGTAGTGGTGAGATGCTTAAAAAGTTCGTACTTAGAAACAAGAGAGGTGGTTGGGTCTGTAACCTCTCCAAGGCTGCCAGCCCCTTGGCTTCCTGGTAGCCCATTTGTCACTGCAGTTTAATAACAGTTTGGGATACGCTGCCCGCTGCGCTTCTCTCTTTGTTGTGGTAACTTACCCGTCTGGATCTGACTCTGTTTATGGGCTTTTCCCCAATAAGAGGGCTGGGACTGCTGCATCCGACTCCCTGAAATTTACTGTCACCAAGGCAATGTGGGACTAAACAAAGCAATGGCCACGTTTCCTTAGCTCCAGCAGGAAAGGTTGGAGCCAAAATTTTAGCAATTAGTGGATCAGGAGGACATAGCAATTGAACAGGAAAAGTTCATCCTGCTGTCACCCTTGGTCGTGTAGCGCTCTGAATGTTACGTTAACCCTCATGAGATAATTTTTCCCTGTCAAAGACTGAATGAATGAAAAGGTCACATTATTTATAGGAATTGCTTTTCTAAACATGTGTTCTGTATTTCCCAAACATAGCAAACTCTAAGTGTAAAACTATTTCTTTACTGAATTAGATTAATAGTTTAAATTCCTCCATAAGAAGTTATTTAAGGTGCCAAAGCATACACTAAATGGTTTTACACCTGACAGTTAATGCTACTTTCCATTGAAAAAGCCCCCACAGATCGTGATGCAGTGGAAGCATCACAGGTGGCTTTTTTTGCCTGGGACAGATTTCACTCAGACACGGTGTACGAGCACAGAAGTAATTTCTCCTTCACCCCCTGAATAAAATAGAACTGAATTTTCAGTTCTTGTTATGGCTCAGAACATCTGCCTTCATAAATGAATACTTACTATATTGTGTTTTTCTGCCTTGCCAGCTTTCCTAGAGCTCTAGATTTTGGGAGGTCACGGGTGCCTGTATTTATCCCTGTTTTGAAGCACACATGCTAGCAGCGTTGGCAGTCATCTCGTTCTTATGAAATACACAGTAATTTTCAGCCAAATATCATTCTTGTTGTAAACTATAGAGCACAACAAAGCAGTGCTCCGTGTAGGAGGGGAAATACAAGAGCAGCTTTTATAACCAGCTCTCGTTTTTGCCACCTACAAAACAAGATTTAACTAATACAGTGGTCCAGCTGTTCTAGCATTTCTAAAAGTGTTTATTCTCAGGCAGCATATAAGGCAATAGGCTGTTGTTGTTGTTACCACAAAAGCCAGTAGTTTCACAATAGCAAAGGCAGAAGGAAGCAGAGGGTTATCAGAGGAGACTCCTTCGGGTTGATACGGAGAGCGAGAGCGTTTTCGAGCCAGACGGGGATCGTTCCTCCAGCTCCATGGCAGAAAGCTGCTCGCCCCACGCGCGGTGCTCGTTCCCAGACGTAGAGCTCTTTGTGAAGGTGAGGTTTGCAAAGCTGTCAGACAGCAGTGTAAAGATAGCATTGACAAAGAGCAAGCAGAACTGGTCGCGTTACTGTGTGTCATTTGGCTATATAAAGATCACCTACGAGCATAATGAACTAACCCTTTAACTGAGTAAATGACACACTTGATTTTTTTTTTGCCTTTGTACCCTTAAAGCAAGTATTAAAACTGCACACTCCAGGGGAATCATGAGCAAAGCCTGGAAAACCAGACCTCTCCTCTCTTGCAACAGCACCGTGCAAAGGCCCACGCAGCCCATAGCCACTGCACAAGGCTTCCCCTTGCTGCAGTGCGACCTCTGAGCAAAATGCAACGCCAGGTAAATTAGAGCCGCGCTTCTGGAGCAACACGTACGGCGAGTTGCAGCCTCCGTGCTCCACGCTGGCACAGGGTGATTTGCCTGGCCAAAGGGAGAGCTCGTCATTACAGGCGCACGCAGCAAGAGCAGTTACGTGACACAGGTGCAGTCACCCTTGAGCACGAAAAGTGGGAGCAGCAGGTCTAGAGCTAAGAGATGGGGCAGGCGTGTGCCCTTCTCCCCTCCTTCACGTCTCAGTGTCAGCAGTATGGTAGTTCTGTGGCATTTGTTTCATTAGTCACCAGTTCAGCAAAGCGCTGGCACTCGCTCGTTCTGCTCCCTTGTGTACCTTCCTTCCCTCTCTCTTCCTGGGCGCCCACAATTGTTCTGTTTAAAGCCCTTAATTATTTGATTTATTCTGTCTATTCCCTTAAGTGCTTCGGGCATTACTTCTCAGTTTTTGCTGGTGAACCTTTTTATACCTGTTTCCTGTGAATGTCAACTGGTTTAAACTTTTCTAATCTTGCAATGATTTAGGTAGATTTATGTGCACTTAGACAAATGAGGCAGGGACTTTTACCCTTGGAGGAATGCTGTGATTCCAATTTTGTTTTTTAACTTGATGCAAACATCCATTATACATTTTAATGAAAAAATAGATCTGTCCAAGATGACTGATTATTCATCATATCTATGTGCATGCTGGGAGAAGGGTGTAAAGCAACATTGTGTGAAAATACCTGTTAGTAGAGACAAGTAACATGTTACACATACTCACAGCAAATACATATTTTCTGTTGTTTAACTGCATCTTCCTCTGTCAAAATGTGCAATTATAGATGTATATGTCCTTATTATTTTCTATTTGCAGGCTGGCAGTGATGGGGAAAGTATTGGAAATTGCCCATTCTCTCAGCGTCTCTTTATGATTCTGTGGCTAAAAGGTGTCATATTTAATGTCACAACCGTGGATTTGAAAAGGTGAGAATACAATAGGAGTAGTCATTTTTAAGAGCAACTTTACCAAAAACAGTGATTTTAAAGGGTGAATCTCTTTTGACAGCTTTGAAAAGCACACACAAATAAGCAGGCCTTGCTATTGACACTGTGCCTTGCTATTATGACAGCAGTTTGTATGCCTGATTCCTCTTTAACGTTCCCTAATATAAAGTGGACTAACTCCTTTGAAGCATTTGAGATTTTAATCTATTTTGCAGTAGGTCTCTGTTACATAAGACTGAAGTTTTAGCTTTTCAGAGCATGGTCAGGTATGGGCTAGCTAATTCTCGCAATGCCAGTGTGAGGCAGCTGGGTCTGTTTTACTTTATAGGCAAGGAGGATGATAGCAATCTGGTATTTTGAAGCTGAGACGACTCATTGCAATTAAGTATAGAAACTGCAGATGTGGTTCCTGCCGTGACGAAGTCAGTCTCTTTCCTCCCACCAGGAAGCCCGCGGACCTGCAGAACCTGGCCCCGGGAACGAACCCCCCCTTCATGACATTTGACGGTGAAGTGAAAACTGACGTCAACAAGATCGAGGAGTTCTTGGAAGAAAAGTTAGCGCCGCCCCGGTACTGTGTCCCCAACCTCTTCTTCTGCTTTTAGCCCCTCATGGGCCTTGCAGAGGGTCCTTGGCAGAGCCCCCTTGGTCGCTGCAAGTGTTAGGATGAGCATGGGAAGCTTAAGAGACTCCAGTCCAGCTGGTGCAGTTGCCGCGGGGTTTTCCCCAGGCCACTGCTTGTGCTCTTCCCACTGCCTTCTCTTTCACCTCACGCTTGTGTTATGCCACTACAGTCACTCCCAAGGCATAAAATCCACCCTGCTGCAGCAAGTATGTGCAAAAACCTGCATACCATCGCAGAAACCTGACCTCCTTCCCTCCATTTGTGTGCATTTGAGGTTTCCCTCTGCACACTGTACAAACAATTGCGCTTGCTGGGAACAAGTAAAGTTAAAAGAAAACCTTAGTGAGAGCCACCTCTGTCCTAGGAGCCCTGGGGCAAAGACTGCCAGTGCTCATCCAGAGCAGCAAGGTGGGCCAACCTCAGCGCACACCAGGGGCTGGGCCTGGGGCTTGTCCTTCCCAGCAGTTCTTCCCACCTCTTCCAGAGCTGCACCCAACACTAGCCCCACCACCTTATCTCCCACCCATGCACCATTTTTCCCCTGCTCTCCGCAACACCCCATCTCAAGCCGCCGAACCTGACTGCAACCATGCTAGCAATCATTCCCCTTCACTTTTTTCCCATCTACTTGCCCATGGCAGCAGCAGCAGCAGCTCCTAGCCAGGCCGTATTGAGCTTGCATGCACAAGGAGGTTGGCAGGAGCAGCACTCGGTGCCGCTCGGGACCTTCCCTCCTTGCAGCAGAGGCCACGCTCTGCTCGGCCTCGGTTCGTCCCCGCCGGAGGCGGCCTGGAAGAGGCACTGGATTGTCTGGGTGGTGTTTGCAGCGTGAGCTGCCGTTTTCCATCTCCCCGGGGAAGAGGAGGTGAGCCACATGGTGTGGGAATGGCCTGGAGGCCATACCGCCCCAGGGATCCGTAGCTGCGGTGCTTCCCTCCGAAAGCTCTGTGCAATCATGTTGTTTGCAAAGGAGTGATGCTGCAGTTTAAAAATAATTAATGCAGGTAGAAATAAAAAAGTGGCTAGTCACTTAATGTTTTTTGTTTCTTTTAATTCCTCAGATACCCCAAACTTGCACCAAACCACCCTGAGTCTAACTCTGCAGGAAATGATGTGTTTGCAAAATTCTCTGCCTTCATAAAGAACCCAAGAAAAGATGCTAATGAAAGTATGTGCTATGTAGTCCTCTCATTGGTCTCTGTACAGTTCTAGCATACTGTAGATACAGCTTAGGGTAGGCAGCCATTTCCCAGAGCATGAATGCCTTGGAAACTTGGGCCTGTTCTGTCTCTTGGTTGGAACTCCCCACATCAGTTGTCTCAGATACAGGCTGCCAGCGTGGGGGCACCAGCTCCAGCTCCTCCCAGGTTCTTCAGCTCGCAGGCCCACAACCGCATCTCCCCTGTGCCTCTGCTGCAGGAGCTCAGAGCAGCACCTTAGCTTCAGCTCTGCCACCTGCCCTCCTCCTGGTGCCTTCCTCCTCCGTTCGAGTCACTAGTGACGGCTCTGACCCCAAGGCTCTACGTTCCCATGCAGATGGCTGGAGTAAGTCCCTCCGTACTGAGCAGACCCAGTTTTGTTTTCTCAGAAACAAATAGAGCTCCTTATGGCTCTTATCCCAGCATTAGGTTTTAAGCTTAGGATAAAGGAATTGCAGGAGTTGGCATAGTGGGGTGGCTGCAATCTGGATTGGTACCAGGGAACAGAAGGCGGGAGTTGCTTCTCTGTTGGGACTCAAGAGAGACCTTGGTGCTTAATGACCTTTTTATTGTCTTAACCTAGATTTGGAAAAATCTTTGCTTAAAGCCCTGAGGAAGCTGGACAACTACTTAAATAGCCCCTTGCCGGATGAAATTGATTCTTACAGCACTGAGGAGATCACTGTTTCCAGCCGGAAGTTCCTGGATGGGGATGAGCTCACCTTAGCAGATTGCAACCTCCTACCGAAGCTCCATATAATTAAGGTTTGCATTTTCATTTCGGCATTTTGAAGAGGAGAGAAATGGAGAAGCTCAAGTTCCCTTTTAGAGGGCAGAGGAATACTGTATCTTTTCTGAAGCTGCACAGCAGCTGTCTAAATGCAGGGACAACGAACGCTCGTGCACAAGGCCATTTCAGTAGAGCAAAGCTAAGCAGATGCTCAGATTGATGACTCTACAGTCAGAGTATCTGGTTTCATATTTGGGTCATGACTGCACTCTCTAGGTATCACACAAGTATTAAATGAGTAAGGTACTCAATTCAGTGCCACAGAGAAATGTTTTCCTTTGCATTTCGCATGTAAGGTGCCAAGATAAATGACTTTTGTCCATGCCAATTCCCCTCCCAACTCAAAACTCCTGCTTTGCTGAACATCACTGGTAATACCAGTCACATTGACCAGGGACCCAGCATCTTTCCAGCCAAGACTCCCAGGATCTTTTTTGCAGGGCTGTGGGGCATCCACACACCTCTAGCAGTGCTGGGCACCAAGCAGGGCTTTGCTAGAGCTTGTCCCCAGGCTGCTCCAGAGCCAGACAGGCTCTGGAAGAGGAAGGGACACTTTGGAAATTGATTTGGTTTCTATAAGAAGAAGATCACTTCAGGAAGTTGCAGTTTTGAGTTCTGTTTTATTGGAGGAGGAGTGAATGGAGGAGTTGTTTTCTGACACCTTTGTGAATGATAACTTATCTCAGGAGACCTCGTGGTTGAAACTAATCCACAGGCAGGAGCAGGAGAGCGCAGCCTTTGCTCATTCCACGGGCACTGTTTGGAGGGTGGGCACGTAACAGATGGGGGTTCATCAGTAGGGCCCTTGCAAAGGGAATGGCCTTATATCAGATGGACGTCTCAAGGATGGTCAAGCCACCCTCGCTGATCCACAGGGAAGTGCTAGGTAACAGCCAATGGTTGTTTTCCCTAGCCTTCTGAAATGTAGTATTTTAAGTTTTTCAGTTTTAAGTGAAAGCTTCCAACTGTGGGCTAACTTATTACTGTAAGAGTACTTTGTTCATTCTGGTTTATGCTAGTTCTCTTTCTGTTTTAAGCTCCATCTCCTCCAGGAGTGCGGTCGAACAGCGTAACTCCAGCAGAATATTTATACTAAATAAATCTGTTTGAGTGGGTTAGCTAGTTAGCTGGCTTTGTTTGTTCCATGCCTTCTTCCTTTTTTTGTTGTTTTTCTTTTCCTCCCCTTTGCTCCCACCAAAAAGTGTATTGTAAATATGAAAGACACAGGAGTGGAAAAGCAAAAATCTGTATAAAGAGCAGAGTTATTTTATGAAGTCTTGTGTGTAATAATCTTTTTCTTTTTTCTTTTAATAAAAGGTTGTTGCAAAAAAATACAGAAATTTTGAGTTTCCACCTGAAATGACAGGGATTTCAAGATACTTGAACAATGCATATGCAAGAGATGAATTTACAAACACTTGTCCTGCTGATCAAGAAATCGAGTATGCATATTTGGATGTTGCAAAGAGAATGAAGTAAATGGAAGACGCTTCTGCTTTTCTTTATTTCTAGGGTTTGGTTGGGCACCAGCCAAGATGGAAGAAAAAAAAAACAGACAATCAAAAAAAACTATACACTCTTCAGTGTAAGTTCTGTCACTGGCCAATTCTTCTTTTACAGCAATTGTACAGCATTATTTGCTCATTTTTAAATTATACATGTACATGTTTGTGTCTCTGTACAGATGTATACACACACAAATGTGTGTGCCACATTCCAGGTTAAAGGCATCAGATTGATACTAAGCCATTCGTTGAAGTTAGGGGAACAATGTAGAAAATGTAATTAGAAAAATTACAGACTAGTGGGTTAAAATTACTGGATTTTGGGAAGAAATAGCACTTTTTCTCGCACATATCTAACCTGTTGTTATTGCTGCCTCTGATCTCTGTTCCGTGTTTGTTGCCAAACTTCGCAGTTACCGTGAAGGTTTCTGTTTGCTTCTCCGTAAGTATCGGAGGGCCACAAGCCAACTCTGGGCATGCCCGCAGCACCCCGGTTTATCCAGGAGAAAGGCCAATAGGACCACACCTGCCTTCCCGGGAGCTCTCTCCTCTCTGCTGGAGACCTGCAGGGCAGGTTGACGAAGAGCGACTGCTTTGCACGTCGCACGAGTCCCTCCTCAGTAGTTAGTCTTTCTCGGGCCTGCATGACCTGCCCAGCCTCCTCTGGTCCTGCTGGTCCCTGGCAAAGAGGAGGACACAGGCCGGCCCTGCCCTGTAGGCTATCTAATAATAAATAAACAATAAATGTGACAAGGTCACTCTAGAGACAATGGGAGAATGTATCTTCCCAGAGACTGAGGTCGGGTTGCTCTTTCCTGCCCTCTTGTGACTCCCATTTATTTGGAAAGAGGAGGAGAAGGGCTAAGCCAGAAATAGTCCTTACTCACTGTGTGCTGCTGGTTGTGCTCCAGAGCAGTGGATTTCCCAGGGCACCTTCATGGCCAAGAGCTTTACAGCTGACCAGAGAGGTGTCTAACCAGGGCTGAGGTAGACACTGCTCCTGCTGTAGCTGGGGGATGCACTGGATGGGCCCCTCCAGCCTTGCAGGAATCCGTGTTCGAGGCAGTCAGCAGTGGTGAGAAACTCCTTCTGGCCGGGCAGGTGGGACGCGCTGTTGGAGATGTTCGGCCTGTGAGGAGGTGCATCCACAGCTGCCTCTTGCTGAGCAGGCCCTCAGCAGGCAAGGAGGAGAAGAAGGCGCAGTGTTTTAGCGATAGGGTCCTATGGAAATTTCCTTTGGATGCGTTTTCCCAGTGTCTGCAGGATGTGGAAATGGCTAAAAATAGCTTATTTTGACATCTGTATCCACAAAGAGACTCTTACAGAATAGTAATTCATCTTTGCCCATGTCAGACATATACAAAACATTACTTAGAGTAGCAGTAGGTGGCAGGTATATTGTACCTGCTTACTCCTACACACTACGTACATACATACATAACATTATCCTGTGTCCTACAATTGTGAGTTCTGATGCAAACTCACAAGTGTTTGTAAACAGCATTAAATACAGAGTTTTAATTCGTCTTCTTTAGAGAACAGTATCTTTCCCTTCCCTCCCTCAGTTCTAAATTTGTGTATTGGGGGTGATAGCTGAGCAAGTCACTCATCAAATATTACTAACTAACTGCTACTTTTTTTTCAAATATATATATATAAGTAAAATATATAAGACATAAAATCTATATACGCTTTTCATATGCCTTACAAATTTAAATATAAAATACACAAATCCATAAGTAATTTGACCAGTGTCCTGTCTTTATTTCTTTGGTAATTTCCTGGCAAGATATATTGCAAGAGTGGCCTGATTTTAAGAAATCAGAGGCAAAGTTTAAATAAACTTTGATCTGTGTTCGAGGAATCAGACCTGTAGTCAGAACTGGGGAAAAACGGATAAATACCAGATGTGTCTGTTACTGCTGAATAAAAAGAAAAAATGAAGGACTAGGATGTAACCGCTGGCCTCAGCGGTTGGTGGTGAGGAACAGCACTGATCTCCCAGTCAGGCCTGCGCATAGGTGAGAGCGATTTTCTTTGGTCCAGTGTCAGTCATAGAAATACTAAGATTGGAAAGGATGGATGGAAATCTGTGTGTGAAAGAACTACAAGAAACCAAGCAACCTGGCTTAAAAGAGGATGGTTGAAGGCCACAGAGCATTGTAACAGTGAATTCACCCAAAGGAACAGATATCAGAAAGATGAAGAGCAAAGTGAAGCTCAAAGGGAAGCTGAAAAGAGAAAGAACTGGAGGGGAGCCGTAAATAAGCCCAAAGAGCAGTGAGCCTCAGGAATTTACTTACTTGCCTTAGAGTCATGAAGGTAGGACAAGATCCTGAGCCATAGCTCCCGAACAGATCCCTAAAGGGTATAAAAGGCACATGCAAAGATCATTTGATGCCAGCAATGAAGAGCAGCGAGGAGGAGCAGCCAGGTAGTCCCTTGCTGCCACCTCCTGCAGGGCCACCCTGTCCAGCCGGCCTGGGCTCACATAGCAGTCCCAGTTGATGGGAAACCAAATGTAAGCTGCATTTAAAATAATTATTATCCTCCACTTCCTTAAGGTCTCTTCCCCCAGACAGATGGCAACACGTGGCCTGGCCTTGCCTCTTCTCCCAGTGCCAAGATGGGGACAGCAGCTCCAAAATCAGTGCGCGAGAGCCCAGCAGAGCCCAGCACCCTCTGTCCTGCCTGACTGGAGAGGCCAGCAAGACACCTGCATGAGGTGCCACAGCACTCTACGGATGCCCCTCTTCATGCTTTATGTACTCCAGGATAGTAATTCTTGCTTTGGGATCATTCGTTTCGCCTTCCTTACACTGTCATCTTTTTTTTTTTTAAGGCATTTTCAGTCCAATCAGGCTGAGGGGAAAATCCTCAGATACTCAGGGTGCAGAAGGTTTCTTTCCTTAAAATCTGGCATTGCTTAGAAGGATATTTGGTTCAATGCTTGTGGCCACAGATGGCTCAAACCTGGTATTTTGTGGTTTCCCTATTCCTCTTGCTCATGCAAAAGAAGAGGCTCCTGGCTCCAGCCCTCTACAATGACTTGCATGGCACCAGTGACACTACCATAAAGAGTATGTTGCAGTTGGCGTTGCATATTTCAAGCAATACCGTGAGCAGGTATGGGTAGAGGTATTAAAAACAGAAAAGCAGAGTTGCATACAGACTCTACTGACATTCTGAATAAAAAAGGAAAGACCTACAGCACTGACTGACAGAAAAACAAAGTTTTCACATATGCTCATAATCTAAACCATACATCTACAAGTAGAAGTTCCTAATACCTTTTGGCTCTTTCGAACAGCAAGTGTATTCTTATATATTAATCAAATATCAACTAGTGATCAAATAAAGTGTAAACTTCTAAGAGACTTTAACTAAACAAATGAGGAAAGACCTTTAGGCCAAGTAAAGATCTGTCTCCTAGAGATCCCAGAAACACCTGCACTACCCAGTATTTAATCTCAAACTTTATCTTCTTTTGTGAACATATCCTCTTAACTTGTCCCTTTCCAACCCCCTCCAACAAGAGCTACCCCCTGCTCCCCAATGGAGGGAGCTCTCACCTCTCATCTCATTCAACTCAGCTGATGTTTTTTACCAAGTGTTTTCTAAAGCCACCTTTGCCTCTTCAGGTAAGGACAATGTTTTCGAGACACTTCAGAAACCAAACTAGCAGAAGAGTCAACAGGTTTTTCCCACCTCTTCAGGAACAAAATGTGATGGAAAAGGGCTCTAGGGGCAAGTCTGCAATTTGGCCTGAATGCAGGACATGAGGCAGCAGAGGAGGAGCTGCCAGGAGAGTTCACAGCACAGGGGAAAAAAGCCTGGGCCTGTGTGCTGATACCTGGGATGCAGTGAGAGAGGGCTGCTCTGGAGGTCATTATTATGGCATTAAAACAACACCCACACCCAATTTGATTCCTGCCGTTGGTCTCTCGTGCCAAGGCTGGTGCGAGGCAGCCCAGCAGAGCCACCGGTTCCCTGCCAGGGCAGGCCCTGGTTCCTGCCAGGGTGCTGGCAACGCACAGGGGAGGGTCCCCCGGACGCTGCTCCCACGAGGACTTCAGCCCTGCAAGCCATAGGGTGGATTTGCAACGATTTACTGGAGAATAGGCTGGTGAAATGAAGGGAGAGGGTGTGCTCCATGATGTAATGGCATGTTTGTGGAGACCAGCTTCTGATTTCCAAAAGCCTATTAGCACATGTGGCCCTCTGCTTAGTGTTGCTTGTAAAAAAAGATTTGTTTTTATTATATTATCATTTAAAATAGAACTTTTTACATTTTCCCTTTAAACATCTGAGATACATAAGAAAGATATGGTCAGATAGTTACTTTATTAATTGTTCTTCAAACACTTGTGTAGGAGTGTCTTCAAGGTTTGAAGATTTCTTGTCAGCTTCAAATATGTTACCAATCAAAATGGCCAGTCGACTTGAAGAACTAAACACTACTTGCGCTCAATGCAGTACTTCCAAAAACAAGCTGAAATCAAATGCAGAGTAACTAACTGTAACATATTTCCCCCAATGCATTCTTTTTTGAAATACCTTCCAAGTCATGAAAAAATAAACTTCACAACAGCAAATTAGTATCCATCATCCATACCCATCCATATCAGCAAGCCACTCGTGTGAGCATTGGCGAACATCTAAATCTCACTCTCTCACTACAACATGCTGAATTTTAGTCCAAAAGTCACACCAGCTGGTTATTTATAAATTGTCAAGAGCCAGCAACGAGCTGCTGAGGTGAGGCATGACCCTGAAAGTGCAAATCGGCTAAGACTCCCTGCTGCATGTCAGAGCATTGATGAAGTTAGCAAACTTCCCTGAAATCTGTCACCTCCAAGTGCTGGTGCCACCTGATGACCACCATCTCCCCAGAGCTCCCCATGGACCCTTAAAAGCTACTGAAAGATTAGGAGGGGTTCTGTGAACACCTACCGTGACTTCAACAACCACATGTGGAAACTGCTACCCTGAACACCGTGTAAAACATTGAACACCGGCAAAAGATGCTGAACACGTGGCAGA